TCACATTTTATTGGAGTAGTTTGTGCTTACTTGACTTAATTGACAGAACGCATGATTTAAAGAAAGGATTTATCGGTCCTGTGTTAGTCTCTGCCACCTTTACAACACTATTAAATAAAAGTAGCATGTCGTATTCTTTAAATGCACTAGACCGTCACATTATAGTTTATGAAACAGTTTAGAGTAGAAATTAAAATACCTTGGAACATTTCTGTCATATAAATGCCTTCATCAGCCTGTTTTAACTGTTTATTTCTGCCATCACTGTGCAAATTAAATAAAAAAAAACCGTACAGACCTGCCTCTGGTTGCAGATTTGGGGTGCTTTGAGTTCAGGTCATGCTGCTCTGCACAGTTGGGACAACAATCGGATTTCCTGGAGAAACCTCCCTCTATTTGTTGAGCTGCTGTTCTCATGCATCACTTAGAGCAGAACAGCTGTTTTCAGAGCAGTGACACCCGTGATGAGGGAATTTGTCACCACGGCCTCAGTACTTTTGAATTCCACTTCTAGAGCCGAAAGTCTGCAGGTCTTGAAGCAGATATCCTGCTCACAGCTATATTTTGTTTCTTGTCTCCCTGCAGCAAGCTTTTGCCATTTTCTCTTAGCCAAAGTCTTGGAGAGTAATGGGCTTCTCATGGTGATATACTATACTGTTGTTAGCTGGGCTTGTATTTAACAGTGGGATGTAAATTGGACAGTTGTTGGCTCTTGATTTTTACAAGCTGCTTGTGATCGATGTGTTTGCAGGTCTCTTTTAGTCTCGGCCTGCATTTCTGTTCTTTTTAAAATCACTCTTTGCCTGCTGTATTATCACGGAAAGATTTCAGGGCTGGGTTTGCTGTGAAGGGACAGTAGATGATGTATTTTAACTACTTCACTGGATGGTGGAGTGACAGGAAAAATGAGAACAAATCACTACAGAGTAAGTGAGAGTGACAGAGATACAGAAAATGAGAGAAACACAGAGAGATAGATCACTTGTCTGTTTTGATGTAAACTCTAAAAGCACGGTCCCTGTGGTCCTGGGAGCATCAAGATGGGTGAATGCAGAATCAAAATCAGTTTATGAAATCCTTCAAGTGATGTTGACAGATCAAAATGCTGCTGGTTTCCCTTGTTATGTCTCAAATGTTTTTTGAAAACACATCATGTTGGATGTTGACAAATATTTACCGACTGACAGAGCCAAGACGAGTAAAGAATCCATTTGAGGGGATTCTCATCAGTCGAAATATTTCCAGTTTTTATTTTTTATCATCCTGTTGATTTTCTTCCCTTTGTTGTTGTTGTTGTTTCTCCATTGTTTGTGTGCTGATGCAGAAATGACAGGTTTTTTTGTATGTCTGTGCTGTTGTCTAGCTGTCCATCTTAGTCCCGGTGCGTGCTTGGAGCCAGCTCGCCCAGGGCTTTGTGCAGTGGCAGTCAGCACATAAATGTTTTGTGTGGTGTCAGATCAGTGCGTGTGCGTGTGTGTGTGTGTGTGTGTGTGTGTGTGTGTACGTCACTGTACAGTCTGAAGCAATACTTAGCAAAGTGTGTATTTGTGTTCTGGGCTGGGGGGTGGGGGCATTATCTTGCTTTATATGTGTGTAGGTGGATGTGTGTGTGGGTGTATGGTTGGGGCTGCATGCTGTGACAGCAGTCACTCAATTCTTTACTCTGCCTCTCTGAAGATGCCAAGCAAGCTAAGGAAGATACAGGGATGGCAGAGTGGACAAAACGCTGGTGAACAAGAGGAGGGGACAGGAAAAAGTGACAGGACGGGGAGAGTTCATAGTGTGTTGGAATTAATGAATGAAACTGGACGCTGGGAAATAGGTAGAATAGGAAAAGAATAAGGAAAGGAAGAGCAGCATTAGGATAAAAATAAGGATCCTGGTAATGATATTAAGCATGCGTTGTACACATATGAATGCATATATTCCCTGAGACACAGTCATATATTTTCATTTTATTGCATTTTCAATAACAAGTGGACCTCTTCAGATACACTCGGAGAGAGAAAATAAGAGAAAGCGAGCTGCTGGGAATTTCTAGGATGTTATTTTGTAACTGCGGTGTAATGAGTGAAGTTTACAAGGCACTCTGCATACTGATACCAAACATCCATATGAATTGGTGTGCAATCATTCACCGATGAGTGTTAACGGTGGGTGTGTTTGAGAGAGTTATAGAAAGTGTGCACGTGTACTGCGTGCATTGTGAAAGGATATTAGTTGCCAAAAACTGCTCTCATCACATTAGCATATGTCAGGGGTTAGTGGGTGTGTGTGGGGGGTGAATAGGTGATGGGTAGCAACAGAAAATGTTTAAAACTGTCCACTCAGACTTTTTATTTAAGACTCTGGAAGTTAAAT